ATCAAAAATTAGAAAAACCAATTTTTTCGTAAAACCCCGTTCCCATGGTCCGATCATCCTAGTTCGCGAACTCATTCAAGTTTATCCCGCCTTACACCTTCAAACCAAATTTCATCAAAATCGGACAAAAATTACTCAAGTTATCGTGTTCACGGACACATATACATGGTATATATATATATATAAATAAATTTGAACGAATAGTGTTTTTGGCCTCTGGGGACATCAAAATGAAAAAGTAGATCGGTCCCGGGCCTAGGTCTTACCATGCCACCTACGGTAATAGCTACTTCCCTATAGGGAAATTCGCTAATAAACGAAACCAGTTAACTTACTTACAGGTTATGTCTATAAAAGACTTGATATTATTATGAGGACGAGGAGGAGCAAAAAAGGTATATCATAATAATTAAATTTTTTGGAGGAAAAATAATCAAGTTAAGAAGGAACGGATCTATTTGTAATATAACAGTTACGCCAAACCTATTATATACTTTTTGTCACAGTTGCATTGGACATGTTCCAAACAGTTCCGTGTAACTGTTCCAAATGTCCAAAAAAAGGAAGGTGAAATCAACGATATACAACACTCCTGGATTGAGCTCGCTGTGTTCGCCTGGCGGTCCGGCGCCCCCCCACCACTGCATGGCAAAAGACACTGCTGCCCTGCACTCACCATTATAAAACGCCCCTCTTTAGCTGCGTTCTCCTCGGTTAATATTAGCATAGATAAAACATACTCCCTTAGTAGATTTCTCATCCTTATGGAACAGCTGAAGACAATTTTATTGTTAGTTCTGTACGGTTTTCTGTAGAGGTCGTGTTTTGTTTACAATTTGTTTCCCGTTATTACAGCCATTTAAAACCTCGTTTAACCAAATAATACGATCTAATCATAAACAATAACCTGTCCCTTAGTTATATAAGCAAACAGTGAAGCACAAATCAAGAAATTAAACCTAAAATAATAGAAACAAAATTTCGTTGACACTAGCGCCCAGTGTGGCGTACATGAACTAGACATGAAAAACGAGCTTCAAAATTTACAATGGGATGAGAAGTCTACTTGTGTTGGTTAGTCTATGATATTAGGTTTGGATAATGTTATTGTGGTTATAACTGTTGTCCTTACTTCACTCTCCATATTTCTGTTTTGTTTACAAAATAATATTTACTTTAAGCTCTCTAAAAGTGAATCCATAAATTTAACTTTTTTAGCCATTTTACAGTTATTATTTGTTTCAAATGAATATAGATAGGTTATTTTATTTTATTTAAGGTTAATAATCAAATACACAGTCTTTTTAAACCTTAATTTATTTCGATAATATTTTGAACAAACCCAACATTTCAAGTATTTTTGAACAATATCAGTTTAGTAAGTTTTTGCCTTAGGCCTATACTTGAATTATTTACAATGGTCTTTTCTTTAGCAACATGGTGGCAATACACTTTACAAAAATAGTTACATATTAGCTTAATTAATAGAAATTCATGTGATGCAAAAGAATCATTTGCTTCGTGGCCCTTAAAAACAGATCCCATAAAATAATTGCAAGTACGTAATCTTATCTCATTGGTGTTGCAATTTCCTCTCTCATGGAATTGCTCTACCAATGACTGATAAATAAACTTAACAATCTTAAGTACATCATCATGAGCCCTAATTAACTTGCCTTTAGTTACATAATCCGTAAACTGAGTGTAGTAACTTAGATTGTCATCTTTTGCCATTAAGACAAAAACACATTCCTGACATGAAATTGTCATTACTATTTTCCTAACAATAAACCCACAGATGTAGTACAATATGTTTTCTTTGTAGTAAGATCTTTCTTTGCTATCAAATAAATTTGCCATAGCAATAATATCATCTTCATTTTCATCATAGTTCTCGTGTACAGTACAACTACCACTGTTAGTAAAATCACTAAAACAGAGTGCAAATTGCTGTTGCTCCATATCAAGATCCAAACAGTTACTTGAATCTGAAGGCCTAACACTGTTCCTAAACATTAGTTTTCTAACAGACCAAGTAAACTGCTGGACATTGGGGTTGTTATTGTTACCACTTCTGGAACGTACACAAGAGAAAAAAAGTTCCAAATGATCTTGCGAACATTTATATGTTAGCAAATACTTTAAGATTTCATTACCTAATAGTCTTTCTCTTAACATTCGTACGGCTTTAATATCACTTAAAAAGCCTAGTGCAAATGTTTTCCTAGCATGTTTAAGGATTTCAACACCATCTATTTTTAAGTTAGATAAGTAAAGTTCAGCTTCTTTTAACATTTTCTCATCCCTAGCCACATTTTTTAACTTGACCGGTCCTTTGAAATCCCTCCCATAAGGGTCCCTACTGTTTAAATAATCAAAAAGTGTATCAATAGTTTTAATATATGTTACAGTGGGCATGCAACCAGCAAAATCTGGATTACCATTAAAATGTAAATATTCTAAAGCTCGAGCCACACTGCTACTTAACGTCTGAGCCGCTAACCGAACATTCATTTTACGATTTTTGTAAAACACATGTTTGTCAGATAGCTTATTTGCTAATTTTAACCCTTGCTCTTTTTGCAGCTTGTTTAACTTTTCAATATAAGAATAGTCTATAATACCCTCACTTGATTCAATAATTCGCATGTCTGCTAGGGTATTACGACCAAGTTTGAGCATGTGTGGGGGATCTAACATTGCCGTTATGTTGTGGTCAATACCATTAAGTTTAAAATTTGGTTTATCAGGAAATTTACACCCTAACTTAGCCATAGCACTAACATTAGTACTGGTACCATCAAAGGTAACATTGTGAACAGTTACACCAACTTCCTTCAACTTCAATATACACATTTTCACTAACTGCGATAAAGTTACAGCTGAGATTTTGTTGATAAAGAAATACCCAACTACACACTTAAACCTAGTACTTAAAGAAACTACTTGAAATACCAGTGCTTCCGTCGCTAATTCTTCGTGATTATCAGTCTTAAGTCCACCTAAATCAACGTAACCAATATTTTTTCCTTTCTTATGGTCATAAATTACTTGTTTTCTAATGCTCATCGCATCAAATGTTAGGCTAACATCTTTCAAATATTTCTTATCGTTAACATTGTTTTTAAAGTACAAAAACACTTCTTCTAAAAATCCAGGAGAACAGTGGAATTTAGATATCCACTTTCTCAGTGTTGACGGGTTTGGCAGAGTTACATTAAGGCTTCTTAAATACTTATAACTTTTTGGTGAGTAAAAATACAAAGTTAAAGCAAATTCTTTCATTTGCTCACTAAATCTGAAATTATTTTTACTTTTACCTTTATTTTCTATATTATTCAGCAACATTTGCAGTGGAAACCCCGAAAAGTTATTTTCTAAGAGTGCAATAAGATTTTCTGGAGCATTTAATTTTTCCTTCAACGTGTAAATTAAATGTTTCATGGATTTTATTTTGTCATCACGCCTTTTTAAACGTTGTTTGAGAATCTTTACGTCACGCCGCAGTTTTATTTTTGTCGGCGAAGCTGTGATAGTCTTTTTGGAACAAAGGTTGTCGAAATCTGTTGATGGAGTTTGGGTTTGTAGAGGATTATCTTGTTGTATGTCTCCGTGTTTAACGATAGTTCTTCTTTTTTTTGGCGGAGATTTAGCCAAATGATCTGGGAACTCAAATATTGTAGGAACCGCATCGTCTTTTAATAGAGGGTAATTCGCATTAGGTCTTATTTGGTAGCTGTCTGCAGTGAAATGTTTACTGCAAATATAGCTGTATCTTGAGGGAGTAAAATTTTTCCTCTTCATTGATAAAACCCATTTCTTTAGCAAGTCGGGCTTTGAATGAGGGAATCTGTAAAAAAATAAAATAAAAGGTGTGGGAGTCCTTAACTAAGGAAAACATAAAACCTAGACATACCTATTGCAAAAAGTGCGATGTTAAGCGATTTTGAGCCTACCAACCTTATAACGTCAGTTCTTTGGGTAAAACATACTATAAAATACTCACCTGTGAAAAGAAACTCCACTCCCCGGCTTCGCTCTGTTTGTGCAGTTGTATGCAGCACATGAAATAACCATCGCAAGAACGTATGTACATCGTTGTGGGTAAACAAGATGCGAGTGCACAGACGCAGGGCGGCAGACGGCCGTCGCGACAGCGCTATTGCCATGCAGTGGTGGGGGAAGCCGGACCGAAAACCGAGCCCGCTACTGCACAGTCGGGCGCAATCCAGGAGTGTTGTATATCGTTGGGTGAAATACTGCGGTGAGAAGGTCGTCTAGTGTGAGTGTCTCAGTGTCAGCTTCTGGGTAATTACTCAGGGGAGGTATAGAAGAGGCTACGATGACAGCTGTGGGCTTCTTATTAGCTGAGGGAACGACATTACCGTAACAAAACGGTCGGTAGCCAACGGCCTCGGTGGTCTAATGGTTAGCGTGCCGGGCTGATATTCTGTAGGTCCCGGGTTCGAATCCTGCTGGTAGCATTAACTTTTTGTCCAAGATTTTTTATTATCAGCAAGTTTGGTTGGTTTGGTTCGGTTTTTACAGTTTAATTTTATTATTAAGTCATTATAAAATTTTAATTGAGCAAATTCTAGTTTTATTTAATAAACAGAATTATTTTTCCGATTACTAAACTTTTGTTATAATATTTCTTTATCAGCAAGTTTGGTTAGTTCGGTTAGGTTATGATAGTTTAATTTTATATTTAAAAAATAATAAAATTGAATTTGAGACATTTATAATTTTATTTTATGAACAGAACTATTTTTGCGATTAGTAAACCTTCATTGCCAAAGTGCTCTCTTCTACAGCGCTGTTCACGGAGGAATTTTGAACTAAATGCCTCATTCGTACCTCCCCTAAGTCAGACCCCTGTTTCTGTACTGTATTTGTTTGCTGTTTGCTTGCTTTTGCCTTTTGCTTACAACTGATGTTTTGAAGTGTCAGTTCTGTAATCTGTTCTGCCTCCACCTAGGGCCTAGTTGTCAAAAAAATAGTCAACTCAAAACAAAACCTTCTACTTGGCTAAGGATAACTAATTGGTTATTTAGTTTGTGTTGTGTTTTATATAAGTTTTCAACTAGCATTGAATCAATATAATTTTGATTTCTTAAAGATGTTGAAGGAGTTTTATGATAATCTTGACAATGTACATATTCTGATTCTGCTAGGGTAATTTATTTAAACCCTAATTCGACTATATTCTAGGGCTTCCTTGATAAAAACAACCAAAATCCTGGGCTTATTTTGGCTCCTGTAAGTAAGATGGCAGTTAATTTGCACAAATTAATTAGTCTTAAAGATTTATTAGGCCTTAGGCCTATCCAGTAAGCGATTAGTATGCAGGTCTATGCCTACGCCTAGTAAGACTATAATTAGCCTAGGGTACACTTCCATATCTGTTGGCACAAACAACCGAATGAAAATATCGATCGATATATCGATTGTTCGATATATCGTTTGGTTAGTTAGGTAAGGTTAAACTAACCAAACAATATAAGTACCTATCGAATTAAACAATCGAATAATCAATATTACTCATTCGGTTGTGTGTGCCAACAGATATGGAAGTGTACCCTTAGCCTAGTATAATTTCCAAACTATACAGGCCTAGGCCTACTTCATACTTGATGTCTTCATCTTTGACCGACATTATCGGATAGATTGTGTCAATTTAATTAGGCTACTGTACTATAACCTAATACTATAGCCTAAACAAGTGTTTCTACCTCTAGGCTAATTTTTGGAGAAGTTAACAAATTTTTAACTTCTTAGCCTTTGTTTCAAGAACTTTTAAGTTTAGTCAACAGCCTAGGCATCGGCTCCCTAACCTGGAGACAGCAGCACCATAGGTCGAGGGTTTGAAAACCGTCTCGGTCAGGTACAACTCCCAAGGAGTGAATCTGTAGGCCTATGTGGTAACATAGAACTGGTTGGATAGGTTTACGAAAAGTAAAGTAAATGGTACCTGGCTTAGGTGGAAATTGATTGGATGGGTGGATTCTTTTTTCTTGATTCCTGTAAGTTAGTATAGGCTATTTCTTTTTCTAAATATGAATAGGGAAGTCTGTGCCATGATTTGTACTGTACCATAGCCTAATTAATTTAGTATTGTACTAATGGAAGCTTGCTGTTGGTTAAATAGAGATTAGGCTAGTTGGACACATTTGGTTATCATAGAACGTCTTGTGAGGAAAATAGGTGTAGGTCCGTACAAATAGCTTTCAAGAATGTCATTATCTTATTCCAAATCAACGATTTTCCCAAATAACTTATTAAATAAGATTTTCTCTGTTTTTTCAGCACTGGTGTAACTGAACATTTAAGTTAAACCAATGGCAGCCATCCGACATGCGTTACAGCATGAGGTGTTTCAGCCCTGTGATGAAAGGCTGTTGGCATTCGTACATGTCAGCAAAGCTTTCAAAAAGAAGAAAACTAGTTTCTTATGTGTGTCAGTGACAAAGGAAACTCCACTTGTGGTCAATGTTTATCAGGTGATTTATACTTACCTTTTACCACATAGCCTAAGATAGCTTCTTTATCAATATTTGTATATTATTGTTATGGGCTTATATTAGGCGCCATAAGTGAAGTCAGCTAGGCAGTTGCTAACAATATATATAGACAAGGGGAAACAGGCAAGGTTCCAGTGATTTTATAACATAATCTGTCAACTAAATAAAGAATACAAGAGCTTATGAAGAATACAAGAGCTTCCACCAAAGCCTAAAAAAATTCATATTTAGAATAAACTTAATGTAAGTTTTTTATGATTTCAGGTAAAGAAGACAGACAAAAATGTAATGAAGAAGAAGCGGTCTTGGGGTTTAAACAGTCTCGCCCTTGTGGATGGCAAGACAGCCTCTCCAGTAAGGTTTATTTTTATTTTCAACGGATAATATAACTTAGGTTACAATTTTTATAGGTACTAGGATGCTGGCATACGGGATGCTAGAAGGTGTCGTGCTAAGAGAAAGTTTTGTGTAGTCCCCTTCTTAGCTGTCCCGCTGTCCGTCATGTTAAAAGCCTGTATTTTACATTGTTTGATGATCTTTGCAATAAGTGGGACACAAGATTTTTTAATTATTTAGAATGTCAACAATTCACATTCTATCACAAAACACACTACCGGTAGATCTAAAGTTATAATAGACACAGTACAGTAATCACTCGAGACAACATGATGTGAAGACACCAGGGAAGCACACTAGACAGCACATTACGTGGTCAAACTGTTTGCATGTCGCAAGAGAGCATTGAGGATGCTAGAAGCTTGCCTCACATTTGCGCCGCATTTGAATAAATGCCCCACAACCGATTCTGTCCGTCCCAGATTGACATGTTTAACACTTTTGGGGACAAAAATTAATAATTGTTGCCAACAAAAGTATTAGGGCCCAAGCATTTTGTTGTCAACTCCAATGTTAACAAGGCTTAAAATAAGTGCTACAAACTTTCTGACTTCTTTTGGAAAACACAGTTTCTGTTGTTAACACTGAAAAAGGCCTACAGTATCCAAATATTGATTGTAGACCATGACATTTAAATTGTATGTTTCCAGGACACGCATGAGTTTGATCTGCACTTTGACAAAGTTTACAAATGGTACGCCATGAGTTTACAAGAAAGACAATGCTTCCTCGTTGTTTTGTGGAAGGTAATGGATCCAAAATATTTGAATCTTGTTAGTACAAAAGTAAAAGAGTCCTTTAAAAGTAGGGTTATTCGTAGCTTTTGACTAGTCCAAAATTTTTTTTTTAAGAGGTTGGCAGCCCCTTTTAACCCACATAGACTAACTACCCGTGCGTGGAACGTATCCAGCAAAGCAAGGGGTGAGCTGGTACAGTACAAAGGTGTGTGAACTAACTGATAAAATGTTTGCGGCAGTGACTAGGATCCGAACCAAAGATAAATTGCTGCCTTCGGCCCGAAGTCTGTCACGCTACCAACTGAGCCACCGACTCAACAAATAGATAGACATTGAACAAATAGATTTTTAACAAAGACTTGGTCTCTAAGATTAATATTTATTTATATCGTTATACATTTTTTTTACTTTTTTCACTTCTAAACTTTAACTGCTAACCCCATTTTGGGTAAACTTAACTTAAAGTTTTTTTAACCTAATGCGCCCAAGAAATAGGTACGGTACCGGTATTATAGTTATGAAGGAATGAAGGATGAGAACAATTGTTTACTAAAATATGATAATAGATGATATCATTTTCACAAATTTCTTAAAATAATATAAAAACATCGTTAATCATGTGAGTGAAATACAGTTGTCTTAAAAATATTTCAGTTAAATCCTCAAACTTTCTTAGTACACGAAGGATAATCTGAACATGGAATAATTGGTAGCCATCAAAATCCTTTCTGCTGCAAGTGCAAATAAAGCATTTTAAAAATTTCACTGCACTGTATAATGTTTTACAATTTGTATTATGTACCGTAATAAATAAGATTATGATAAAATATTCACAGTCAGTGGTTAGTTCCCCCTTTGTAATTCAAAAGTTGTCGATTCAAGAACCAAGAATCAAGAAGGAACTTTATTGTCATTGACCTTTTACAAGGAATAGACATAGTCAAAACTAAAACTATAAAAAATATAAGAAATACAGCAGTGGGTTCTAAATTAAAAATCAATGTCAACATTAGAAAGTAAATATTCTGTTATACAATAATAATATGGATTTTTGATGAGCCACTCAAACATTTTTGACTTAAACCTATTAAAAGAGAACCAGTTTTGCTGCCAGACCTAATTTATTAAAAAACTGTATGCAATTTATTTTATGGCAGTTATGTGTTTTGGCCAATCTATGGGCAGGGATTTCTATATTGGATTCTATTGCGAGAAAAGAGTTAAAAGCAAATTTTTATGATTTTAAAATGGAACCAGCTCTCCTTAATCATTGGGCACGTAATAATTGGAGAGTTTTCAGCTGAGGGAGGAGCCTGTTTACCACGTGACTTCGTAGAATCCAATGAGAACAGTGCAGTGTTGCCAAATCTACCATCTGATTTGAAAATATTGTTTAGCATATTTTTATTAGTGTCGAAAAGTAGAGAACGGGTGATGTTGCAACATCGTGCTAGTTCAGTCTTGGTATTGGCTGCCGCAAATTGCAGACTCTCGTGGACCGCACTTTAGATAAAGAACTAACTGCTTTAAGTCTGTAAGCTATAATTTTATACATTCACTCTCACCCTTCAATATTTTTGTTCATGCATAGAGAAAAATATGTGTGTCAGCACATCTATAATCTAATGTGATAAATATAATATCAACTATTGTCGGGACCACGTAAGTTTGCAGTTGAGGGAGGAGCTTATTTACCATATGGTTTTGAATGAACCAATGAGAACCGTGCAATGTTACCAATGTTATTATTACAAATCTAATAATACCAAATCTGAAAATATTGCTTAGTATATTTTAATTAGTGTTGTCAACGGGCGATGTGGCAACGTCGCACTAGCCTTGTCTTGTGATTGGCTGCCACCAACTACAAACTTACGTGATCCCGACAATAGATAAATATGTTTGTTTTTTTTATTATGATAAATTCAATCAAATCTAGTTTAAATCAAACATGTGGTTTACAATAGTGTTATGTGTTTGATGTTTTGTTTCTGTACTGTAATGTAACCAACATTTCCTTTTTTTCAAGCAATGTTTAAACTACTCGTTGAAGGAGAGACCGGAGTTTAGAAATTTACCTAAAGAATGGATCAGTGGAGAACTGAGTCCAAACCAAGTAACAACCCAAACTACTACGTTGGGAGGTTAGTATTTTATTAACGGAAACAATCTATCATATGTGTTTTCAAGGTGCTATGCCTACTTACTCAATTAAGTAGTTTCTCAATATTCATGCACTATATGGACCTCCAAACTCAAGGTAAACTTACCTTCTGTATTGTTTCTTTTCTTCTTGTTGTGAAGTAACCTTGCAATTTTGAGAGACATCACAGAATAATAAATACTTCTGAACATTCAAGCATTATGTCTGACACACACAAATGACTCAGAACAACACGACTCCAATGACATCATCAAATGGAATCATCAATGTTGTACAGTCATTAAAATAAGTAATCAGAAATTTTAACCCATTATTCAAGTTATGTTTTATAATTAGTGTTTATCATTTTTGAGTGGCTTACTTTACAATTCTATATTCTTTATTGTGCATTTGTCAAGAATTACAGTGTCATGTCATGACTTTTCATTTCAGTATAATATTTCAGATGTGCTAATAATTCTCTGTTATCAATTCTTGTAAAATTTCAACTTAATAGTACTTGTATATTATATATACCGGTACTTGTATATCTGATAGTTGTTAATATTATCATTTACATTTATCTTCAAAAAAGTTGTGCTTTTTGAAGCACCATCTACCTCCAAGCACTGCCTAAAAAAGTATAACTATCGTAAATAAACTTTCTTATTTCATGTGTTTTTGATTCATCCTGAATGTTGTCAAACCTAACTTAACTACAATCATGATTCATTTTTATCTTTTCCTTGATTTGATAGGAGTGGAGGAAGGGATAGAAGGGGAGGGAGAGGACTACCAAGCTCTCACTGAGAAGGAGACGATGGACCTTGAACAGCTGATGACCTCTTGTGAAACAGCTGTTAGCAACGCCGAGGCCTTCATGGACACACTGGCCAGGGATCTTTCTATACTGGACGGGGTATGTCATTAGTATACACAGTTAGAGGCAGTGTTGGGGAAGCTACTTTTAAAATGTAGCTAGAAACAACTACTGCTATATTTCCAAAAAATCAACAGCTACAGTTCCAAAAAAGTAGCTAGTTACAGCTACAGCTACAATGAAACATAGCTATAGCTACAATTTTAGCTACTATTTCAAAGATTTTACTTTTATTCCACGCACATTAGGTAAAAGTAAAATTAATTGCAACTACATAAACCTAACATTACAACAACACAACTGTAATATATTTATATAAGTAATATAACAGGTTTTACTATTTAATAATTTACAAGGCTATGTTGGCAATATCTAAATATGTACGTTGAACTGTAACCGTTTGTATTTCCCACTACCAGTTAATAATATTTGAATAAACGAATGCTATTGGACGATCGGGTCACGCCACTTCCCCAACCCATGAGTCCATGTTAACCGACACCTCTACACCTCAGTTATAGCCAGCTTCCATCCTGAGTAACTCCGGCCCGTTCGGTCGTTAGCAGTTTTACAGTGTTAAACCGTAGTGCTTATTAACTTCCCGATTTCCGTAGTGTAAGACGTCAGGGTGACGTAGTGACTTAGTAACAGTGTATAAAGTATAGCACCGTGTCAACGAAGGTACGTCAGGGTGATGACACGTCAGTGGCGACGAGGACAATTGGAGCAGTTTTTAACGTTCGGGAGTGAAGCGTCGGTCTACGTCCGGTACTGTACGCGTGGTGTAAATGGCTTGTTTTAGCGCCATAAAAAGATTTTCGTTAGTTTGTGTGGGGAAGGAATGAACATAGAGAAGCTATTTAGTGAAGGATTTAAGTTCGGACATAAAATGGCGGGAATTATAGGAAGCGTCGGGGAGTTCGACCAACACGAGGAAACGTGGGACTCGTATATTGAACGTTTCGAGCTATTTTTAAGTTGTAATGAGGTCAGTGAAACGAAAAAGGTTAGTACGTTACTCACAGTAGTTGGTGTAAAGACGTTTAAACTTTTGCGAGATTTGTGTACACCGGACAAACCGTCTAGTAAATCGTACGCTGAATTAGTGAAATTAATTAAAGACCATTTGTACCCGACCCCATCTTTCATTGCGGAACGATATAGATTCAGCTTGAGAAATCAGTTAGAAAACGAGAGTGTTTCACAGTATATCGCGCAATTAAAGCATTTGTCGACACATTGCGAATTTGGCGCGAATTTAAATGACTATCTACGAGATCGCCTGGTTAGCGGCATTAGAAGTGATTCAATGAAGCAGAGACTTTTATCGGAATCAAATTTAACATTCGAGAAGGCAGTGCAGATGACGTCACAGTTCGAGATGGCGGAGAAGAGCGCAGCGTCACTTTCGGCGGGAAGCAGCGATGGTCACAGCGGGAGGATCCAACGCATGGCGGCGGCATCAGCTTCAGCTTCACCACGCCCATCAGGTCAGCAACCCCGCCCACGAGGTTCAGCGCATCACAACACCGGAAGAGGTAGACAACAGCAACAGCCAACATCGTCTGCAGCGGCGTCGGCGTCAACGTCAAATAATAGAGTGCAGTGGCAGTGTTTTTGTTGTGGTGACTTCGGTCACATCGGCAGGAATTGCCGTTTTAAGGGTTCAACATGTCACAAGTGCGGTAAGAAAAATCATTTAGCAAAAGTATGTCGATCTCAGCAAAACAGTAAGTCAGTTTCAGTTCCGTAGTAATAAGAGTGATTTTAGATATAATAGAAATAAGCAGCATAACTATGTAGATGAGGTATCTGATGATGTAAGCGTAAATGATGATATTGAGGAGAGTATAGGTAATCTGTTTGAAATTAGTGAAGGGTCCAGTAAAATAACTAAGGTAGATCCTTTCAAAACAGAGGTTATTCTTGAGAACAAATCAGTAACTTTTGAAGTGGACACGGGTGCTTCGGTAACTGTAGTAAGCGAGGCTTATTACAAAGATAATTTGAGTGCTTTGAAATTGTTTCCTACTGATATAAGGTTAAGCTCGTACACTAATGTGCCAATTTACCCTGTGGGTAAGCTAGAGGTAAATGTTCAGTTCAGAGATAAAAGCAGGACCTTAGACTTGTACGTAATTAAGGACGGAGCTCATCCCCTTATGGGACGAGACTGGATAAAGGAGTTAGGAGTAGAAATTTCTTTCAAAAATATTGAGGAATTATTTGTTGCTAAAACTGAATCAAAGAGTAAACATGAAGGTTTAGTTAAGGAGCTAGTAAATGAGTTTCCGGAAGTTTTCTCAGATCGATTGGGACAGTGCAATTGTAAGCCCGCAAGGCTGGTTGTAAAAGAAAATGCCATTCCCAAATATCATCGACCTAGATCACTACCCTACACCCTTAAGGCTAAGGTAGAAAAAGAACTAGAACGTTTGGTGGAGTCCGATATTTTAGTCCCAGTTTGCAGTTCAGAGTATGGATCGCCTATTGTGCCAGTTCCTAAAAAGGATGGTAGCATTAGGATTTGTGGGGACTTTAGGCATGTTAACGCACAATTAGAAATTGATAGGTACCCCATTCCTAGGGTCGAAGATTTGTTTACAGAACTACAAAAAGGGGAATTTTTCAGTAAGATCGATCTAAGTCAAGCCTATATGCAGTTAAGATTAGATGAGTCATCACAAAAGCTGTGTACAATCAGTACACACAAGGGGTTGTTTGCGTACAAAAGATTGCCTTATGGCATAGCATCAGCAGTAGGTATCTTTCAAAGAGTCATCGAACAAGCTTTGCAAGGGTTGCAAGGTGTGAAATGTTTTTTGGACGATATAATTGTATCAGGACCTAATGACGAAGTACATTTAAGTAGACTAAGGGAAGTTTGTTCACGCCTCAAGGCTGTAGGTTTCACAGTGAAACAAGATAAGTGTAAATTTTTTGCATCAAAGTTGGAGTTTTTGGGGTTTACTATTGACAAACATGGGCTTCACACCTCGCAAGCCAAGATAAAAGCGATTGTCGATGCCCCTGTACCGAGAAATGTGACAGAAGTAAAATCATTTGTGGGTCTAGTCAACTATTACTCTAAGTTTGTCCCCAATATTGCGGGTGTTTTAAGACCTTTGTATGACCTTCTGAAGAAAGATGTAGAATTTTGTTTTGATAACGAGTGTATGAAATCGTTTAAGAAAGTTAAAGAGCTATTGTGTACGGCTCCTGTGCTAGCACACTATGACCCCCAAGCACCAGTAATACTAACAGTAGATGCTAGTAACTATGGTCTAGGTTGTATTCTTAGTATAATAGACAAAGATGGTACTGAAAAACCAGTAAGTTTTGCATCACGTACATTGAACCAAGCAGAGCAAAACTATTCACAAATTGATAAGGAGGCATTAGCTGTAGTTTATGGTGTTAAGAAATTCCACCAGTATTTGTACGGGAAGCATTTTACCCTTAAGAGTGACCACAAACCCCTTATTAGTATTTTTGGACCTAAGAAAGGCTTGCCTGTGTTCACAGCCAGTAGATTACAGAGATACGCCCTGTTCCTGTCAGGGTATGATTTTGACATAAAATATGTTAGGTCAGACAACAATAGCGCCGATGCGTTGTCTAGGTTACCGCTTAAAGTGTCCCCAGTAGACGAGGAACCCGAATTGTTGTGGTTAGGTACTTATTTACACTTTGTTAAAGAGAGCTCAGTACCAGTGACATGTGATCAAATTAGAGTAGAAACACAAAAAGACCCGTTATTACGGAGAGTGTTAGGCTATGTCATGTTTGGGTGGCCAAATTTTGTCCCTAAAGAGGAATTTGAATTGTTCCCATTTTATCAGAGGAGGGAGGAACTAGCTGTCGAGCAATGTGTTTTGATGTGGGGGTACAAGGTAATTGTTCCTAGAAGTTTGAGAAGTTATGTTTTGAATGAACTTCATGCGTCTCATCTGGGCATAACTAAAATGAAGTCTGTTGCGCGTTCTTATTTTTGGTATCCAAGTCTAGACAAAGACATAGAGAACCTTGCTAACAGCTGTTCGTCCTGTCTTCTTGAAAGACCAAATCCTAGTAAAGCCGAATTGCATCATTGGCATTACCCGAGTAGACCATGGGCTAGGTTACATGTAGATCACTTAGGCCCATTCAAAGGAAAGTTGTATCTGATAGTAGTTGACGCACATTCAAAGTGGCTGGAAGTTTTTGAAACTAGTTCGACTTCAGCCAATCACACTATAAATCACCTTCGTGATTTGTTTGCACGGTTTGGTTTGCCAGAGTCAATCCATAGTGACAACGGTCCTCCATTCAGTTCAATGGAGTTTGCCTCATTCTTGAAACATAACGGTATCAAGCACACAACGTCGGCTCCGTACCATGCTCAAAGTAACGGACAGGCCGAGAACTCTGTTAAGTATGCTAAGTCAAAGTTAAAATGTGCATTTAGGGAAAATGTAAATACTTCTGTAGCCTTAAGTAGAATCCTTTTTGACTATCGCAATTCTGTGCACATGACCACTAATGAGACACCTGCTATGTTAATGTTTAACAGACCTTTGAGAACCCGATTAGACCTACTCAGACCTAATTTGTCTGAGACTGTACATAGACAACAACAAGCTCAAAAGATGTATGCTAGGGGTAGTAAGACTCGATATCTGTTTGAAAACCAAAATGTATTGATTAGAGATTATAGATCTAAGGATAAGTGGATTGAAGGATGTGTGGTTAGGCAGATAAGTCCAACTATGTATATAGTTAAGCTAAGTTCAGGTGTTACGTGGAAAAGACACATTGATCAGCTGATAGCTATCGACAGTGGCCCAGTGTTGACATCAGGTGCAGACAACAGGCCCGCGGCAACTACAGTCATCGCGCGCCCAGCTGTTCAGAGTACACCAGCTGAGCGTGACGTCAGTCCTATGACGCGCGAGCTTCCGGGACATAGTACGCGCTCGTCCCTCTCTCCCACCACTCCGCGGCGCTCTATGGTTCCACAAACAGCTGATCGCAATTCACCACCAGCTGTACACCGTACACCTGTACAACACCGTCCACTACACCACAGAGACGTTATCCCATGAGAGCTAGGAAACCAGTCGAGAGAATAGATTTATAATTAGTTTGTTTTGTTGTCATATAACGGTTGTTGTGTTTGTGTGTTGTTAGGTTGTTTTATTTATGTATTTGTTTGTCAGCATTTATATTCTATCTGTTTACTGATACTGAAATTGAAAATAATGATTGGTCACATTTTATGGTCAGATTTAAAGGGGAGGAATGTAATATATTTATATAAGTAATATAACAGGTTTTACTATTTAATAATTTACAAGGCTATGTTGGCAATATCTAAATATGTACGTTGAACTGTAACCGTTTGTATTTCCCACTACCAGTTAATAATATTTGAATAAACGAATGCTATTGGACGATCGGGTCACGCCACTTCCCCAACCCATGAGTCCATGTTAACCGACACCTCTACACCTCAGTTATAGCCAGCTTCCATCCTGAGTAACTCCGGCCCGTTCGGTCGTTAGCAGTTTTACAGTGTTAAACCGTAGTGCTTATTAACTTCCCGATTTCCGTAGTGTAAGACGTCAGGGTGACGTAGTGACTCAGTAACAGTGTATAAAGTATAGCACCGTGTCAACGAAGGTACGTCAGGGTGACGACACTTCAACAACAACCAAAATAAGTTAGTTGGGTGTTTCATCATATTTGTTACTTATTTTTAAATATTGCATTATTTTTATTTTTAAGCATTTTATATATAAGACATACATATATGTAAATTTCATTAAGTTCAAAGGACATACAACCAAAATATATTTTAAAAGCTCATTTAATTTTTTAATGTACATTTATTTATAGATGTCTTATATCAACTATTAAAAACAATAAAACTGTAAAAAGATTATTTAAAAATACTTTTTTGTGTTACAGAGCCTAGCCTACTGAAATTGGAGTTTATTGCCTTTCTTTATTTTTAATGTTAAAAACGACATTGCTATAACTTTTAACGATAGTGATAAGTTACTTATTCTATGAATAACACTTATCAATGTCAAGAAATCGTCCTTTATTGTCATTATGCACAAGGCAAATTGTGCTTCAACAAACGTTGGTGCAGAAAACAGTAGGCCTATCCTGAAATCGGCTCATTAATTTAAACATGTTGAAAATTTTAAAGTAAAAATAACATGTATCTAGGCCTACTTGGCTATGTAACAAGTTGGCTATAGTAGGCTTGTTCTTACAGGGACTAAACAGATAAGCTACATTCCTATTAATTGAACTTGGTAGTCATTAATCCAATAGCATAGCCTAGGAATAGTCCTTGACAAGAGCTGCTAGCAGGAGCAAACTATGCTATTTTTTCAATGTAAGTTTCATGTTATATGGAGATTTTTTTGTTAGGTACAATTATTATGTAATCTAGGCATATCTTAAATCTCATCAGGTAAATTCCTCTTTGTTAATTTAGTAAACCTTTGAAAAATCTTCGTAATCCAACCAAGGAAGGGCTTTTGTGTGATGATGAACCTCAATCAACAGCTGAAGCAAAGGTTGATAGACCAGCTTTCTCATTACTTTAAGGTTTAGGGATGGTTTCCGTTAAATAAAACACAAGTTGAAACTATCAATTAATAAAAAAATTCAATTAAGTGTAAAAATTAATTGTTAAATTATGATTGTACCGTACTCTTTCATAAAATTTCCATTGTAATAAATTCCTATTGATACAGTTTAAACGTTGTATGCATCTAGCGATTTTATTTATCTGACAGTAATCATAGAGTAGCAAATGAAGGAAATGAGAGCCATAAATGTGGATAACACTCAGATAAAGGCCTCCATGTCCACGCAATGCTGTAATAGATAATGAAACAGCTGCGACCAACTGTATGAAGCCAAAAAAGTAGGCCTAATTTTCTTGAAAATCTCAGTTTGAAAGAGATTGTTTCACGTAAGGTTGTGATAAAAATCACTATCTCAATCAATGAATGTAGCAAGAAAAGTAGCTAAAATTCCGCTACAACTATAGAACTACTTTAAAAATGTAGCTAGCTACAGCTAACGCTAAAAAATCTTAAAAGTTGCGTAGTTACAGCTGATATTACTTCCCAACACTGGTTAGAGGCATATCAGTCAAAGGATGATGTAAGCTTGTACCGTAGAGGCATGTTTAGCTGCTATCTTGAATTGACCGGCTAGAACCCTCTTAGGAAACTAAATAACTTTTTTTATGTCTGTAACTATTTAAAAGTGTTTACTTGCTGATTATTTTATTCCTAGCTCCGTGGAGCTTTTTTAGATTATAAAATAATCAGAGTATGACAAGAAAATATGTTTAGTTAAATACTTTTTCTCATGTTTCAGGAAAATGTCCATAGTGTCTTAGCATCGGAGAAGCAAGTTTCTCAATTAATGAATCAACTAGAGGTAGCCATATCTGAGGTGAATTGCTTGGAACAGTTTTGTTTTGTAGTCAAGTACCATTACGGTAGTAGCTTTGGAAAGAAAATTAGAACCTAATAAAAAACGATTATTAAAATATAAATATATGTGTAAAATGATCAGTGCATTGTTCAAAACCTCCCCAATCCTTCGAACAGTTTTCAGAAGCTGGCTTGTTTTAGCCTGTCTTGATCAGGAGTCAAAGATATCTCCTTATTTTACAATACCTAAGCATTTATTAATTTCCCACCTAAAAACTATATTTCAAAGTGTATCAGTGTCTGTAGTGATTTAATGATAAGTGGTATCTTAATTGTTTTTTAGGTAGAAAAAGTGGAATCTCAGCTGAATGGTTATGACAACATCCTATGCCACATTCGTAACACAATGGACAAAATGGAGGAGAAAAACATGTTGATTGAAGTTGCCAACCGAAACAACCAGAAATTGTTGTTTGAACTAGAGAAAGTTATCGTAAGTCTTTGATGTTAAATAACAATTTATATTTCTGAATTAGGCCTAGTTTGTTTTTGACTCTTGAAAACATTTTTTGGATAGTAATAGTCAATCACCCATTTAAAATGTATTGGCAATAATCATTATTATGTCATTAGGTATTACACATAATTATATGTAGCTTTTAGTTTAAGCTAAGATGGTCACACAATCAATAATACATTTTACAGACATCATTGGTTGCTACCATTTTAAATCAGTAAGGATTATTGGTGTCCACTTCAATAAGTCAACCTAATTGGTTAATTAAAAATGATTAAAAATACGGTTTAGAGCAAGAACAAGCCCGCTGACACCATGTATTATTTGCTAAAAGTGCTCTTTCCAATTCCTTCCCGTTGGTATACAAGCAATCTTTTAAAGTCTTGACAGTTGATTTCCATTCAATTTTTAAATCTGTAAGTTAACTAAAGCTACAGACTTCCACACTTAAAAACACCGCCAAAGCTTAGTCAGTTGAGTTGTAGCTGGCCTCAAAGATGGATTGCTTTGTCAGTGAGTATTTTCACTTGTTCAAAGACACGTCTGTAACTAAAGCTGCTAGACTTGCAAGGGAATATGACTCTACTGAAGTGTTGTTTGTAGTCACAACTGGAGCTGCCCAAGAAATACCAGGACGCCTTGATAGATGCTGATCTAACTACTAAAGAGGGACTAAGAGATGCTATAGCAGCTGGGAAAGCACTGCAGGTAAGTTGTCAAAATCATACACCAATTCATGGAGAAAAAAGCACTTGGCTTAGGAATTGTAGGCTAAGGAAATAAAATAGGAATGGATACTCAACCTACCTACTTGAAGAAAGAGTTCCAAGCACTTGAAACCACACAAAAGTTCACAGCATAATTAATTTGAAATTTTGCCCATACAAGGGGGTTTCTTCTGAATGAAGTATTAGGCTGCGGGTACAATACGAGTGACGTTGCTCAGACATCAATCACATTAAGTTGCGTGTAAATTTGTGGTTTCAAGTCTAGACCGATTTTTGCCAAATTGCGGCTCATATAAATCATGCTTCCGTCCTGCTGTAAACCTGTTCTTCTCTTCTAAATCTTCCAACTTAATCTGCTCAAAATGTTGTCAAAAGTAGGGATGCTCATACATATGGCATTATATGTGGTATGCGAAGATCCTATCACCGTCATCCTCAGAAATGGTGGTGTTCTCCAAACACCTTTCTTCTCTTGTTAATCGGTTGTTCCCCCTCCACTCTCTCATTGACTCCTACACCTCTTATTTATAAAGACTAAGATTTTCTTTAACAAACAATATTTTCAGATAATAAAAATAATTAGCCTAATGTAATATGTCCTTGTAATATATGTTTATATTAATTGTACAAGAAGCAGCATTTGATTTTATAATGTTGGTTGCATTCCAGATGTTAAAGACTTTTGTTTTGGTTCTGATTGTTAATTTTGTCAATAACAATAATAATTGAGTTGTGATTGAAATGGAGAATAAATTGAATACACTAGATTTTATCTTGTTCTTATAAAATATTACAATGGCGCAGTCGAATTAAACGGACCTCGTTCCGAGTGATAGTAAGTCTAGTAAAAGTAAAGTTTTTTTTTTTTATACCAGATCCTGAAGAAGATAAATCTAAACTTCAAAAAAAAAAGGGAGGTAAACTTAAAGACTAAGATGGCAGGAATAGGTAAAGTTGGTGAATTTAACCCACAAGATGAGTCCATTGAATCATATGCAATGAGGCTTAAGCATTATTTCAAAGCTAATGAGATTGATGACGATACTAAAGTTTCTGTTTTAATAACTGTTGTAGGCCCAAAAGTTTTAACAATTTTGTCTGATTTAGTTTCACCTGCAGCTGTAGATAGCAAAAGTTATGAAGAGTTAGTTAAAGTTCTTGAGAACTATTTTTTTCCAAAGAAATTGGTGGTAGCTGAGAGATACACTTTTTATTCTCGTGTGCAAAAACCTAGTGAGAGTATTTCAGAGTTTGTTGTAGCGATTAAACATTTAGCTAGTTCATGTAAATTTAGCACATTCTTAAAAGAGGCTCTTAGAGACAAGCTTATTTCAGGGATAAGTAATGAGGTCATAAGGCAAAAATTATTGTCTGAGGATCAAGAATTTGATGAAGCTTATAGTTTGGCACTCAGATTAGAGCAGGCTGAAAAACAGACAAGTTTGTTCAATCCAAAACAGGAAATTTGTCATTTAAATTCCAAGCCCAATTCTTTACATGTGAATCAAAATAGGCAGACTGGTAGTCATTTCAATTCAGCTATTGGTGCTGGTATGACTAATATTAATGCTAAATTTAAGTGTTACAGATGTTGTTCAGTTGAACATAGGGCCAATGAATGTCCATATGCAAATTATAAGTGCAATGGGTGCAACATAGTTGGGCATCTACTAAAAGCTTGCCGAAACCAAAGTAAAGTTGCAAAATTTGGAAGGAAGGACAAGTCAGGTGCTAATAGAGTCCATCAAATCTCAAAAGATGATGTCAATGAGCTTAACTCAAGCTGCAATGAAGTTTCAAATAATGTGTGTTTGTACAACTTTGGATTAAACAAAGGTATGGCAGCTTACAAGGTAAGGCTAACTATAGAGAAGGTTCTGGTGGAGATGGAAATTGACAGCGGGTCAGCTGTATCAGTTTGTCCTTCAGACGTTTTTAATGCACATTTTTCTCATATTGAATTAAAGCCTGTTTCTATGAAATTGCGAACTTACACAGGTGGTGACGTGCCTGTTCTAGGTCAAGCTGAGGTTAGAGTTTTGTATAAAAACCAGAACCTAGTGTTACCACTATTGATTGTTGAGGTTTGTCGTAAAGACCAGCCTATTTTGCTTGGAAGGAACTGGTTAGCAAAATTAAAGTTGGATTGGCATGCTGTATTTTCAAGATCGTATGATACTACTGGTACTAAATCTAAGTCTACAGTGAATGTTACCACATGTGAATTGAAGCAATCTAATTGTGAAGTTGTGTTGCCTAATGGCAAACTTGAGGCTGAAGTAGAGGCGTTAAAGAAAAAGTACAATGCAGTGTTTCAAGGGGGGCCAGGAGAAATAAAAGGTGTTAAGGCTCAAGTCACTCTCAAGGACAATGCTGTTCCTAAGTTTTGCAAATTTAGGCCTGTGCCTTACTCGTTAAGGGAAAAAGTAGAACAAGAATTAGATCGGTGGGTTGAGGATGGTATAGCGTACAGAGTTTCTAGTTCAGAATGGGCTACTCCGTTAGTTACAGTGCCCAAGACTAATGGTGTCCGATTGTGCGCAGACTTCAAAGTAACATTGAATCCGGTGTTACAGACGGAACATTATCCATTACCTCAACCTGAGGATATATTTGCTTCTCTGTCTGGTTGTACATATTTTTCAGTTGTGGATCTCACTAATGCTTATCAACAATTAGCTGTTGCGGAGGATTCACAACCTCTGTTGACGTTAACAACTCACAAGGGACTATTTCGACTAACACGTCTGCCATTTGGACTTTCTTCAGCTCCAGCTATATTTCAAGCTGTGATCGATCAAATTATAAACAGATTACCAGGTACTGTAGCCTATTTAGATGATGTTTTGGTTGGTGGCTCAACAAGAGAGGAAGCCTTTTATAGATTGGGGAAATTGTTACAGCGTCTTATGGAATTTGGAGTACAAGTTAATGGGAGTAAATGCAAGTTCTTGCAGCCTGAAGTGGAATATTTAGGCTACGTCATTTCAGCATCAGGAGTCAGTCCACAACAAGGTATTGTTGAAGCTATTCAAAAAGCTCCCGAACCTACTAGTAAAGACGAGCTAAGGGCTTATGTTGGTTTAATAAACTATTATGGAAAATTTATTCAAAACTTGTCTGCTAAAATTCATTGTTTTTATGAACTGTTAAAGAAAGATGTTCCATGGAAATGGACCGAGCAATGTTCTCAAACATTCAAAGAAAGTAAATCTTGGGTTCTGTGTTCTGATGTTTTAGTACACTATGATGTCTCTAAACCTTTAGTGCTCACTTGTGATGCTAGTCCTAAAGGAGTTTCTGCCATTTTGTCCCATATCATAAACGGAGAAGAAAGACCTATAGCGTTTGCATCAAAAACATTGAGTGCCAGTGAGAAGAACTATTCACAGCTCCACAAGGAGGCGTTGGCACTGATCTTTGGAGTGAAGAAATTCCATAAATACATTTATGGGCGTACCAATTGTATTTTACAAAGTGATCATCAGCCACTAGCAGCTATTTTTGGATCGAAGCGAGGGGTGCCTAGTTTAGCTGCTGCTCGCCTACAACGATGGGCCCTGATTTTGTCTGCCTACAATTTTGAGGTAAAATATCGGAAGGGTTCCAGTTTGCCTCACGCTGATGCGTTGTCACGCTTACCACTACCCGAGAATGAAACTTTGGAGTTGGATGAAAATTATATATCTCATGTGGAATTTTTGTGTAAGAGAAATGAACTTCTTCAATTCGGGGAGTGACGATTCTCCAATCACTTCTTTAGAGATAGGACAATTGACTGATAAAGACCCACTGTTGTCTAAAGTTCGGGATTTTGTGTTATATGGGTGGCGTGAAATTGTAGACCCAATGTTAATACCATTTCAGAGAAGGAGAGATGAATTGTCAGTGGATAAAAATTGCATTTTATGGGGCAGTAGAGTAGTCATACCTAAGAAATTGCAAGGTAAAGTCATCCAGATATTGCATGAACAACATCCTGGAATTACTCGAATGAAATTGTTGGCACGCAGCCACGTGTGGTGGCCTGGGATTGAAAAAGTAATTGAGGATGCTGTGTCATCTTGTTTGATTTGTCAAAGTACAAGAAATGCTGCTTCAAAAGTTCCATTGCAGCAATGGCCGTTAACTTCCGAGAGATGGCGCCGAATTCATATCGATTTTGCTGAAGATCCAACCACCAGACAGCAAATGTTGATTGTAGTGGATAGTTTTTCAAAGTGGATGGAAGTATTTTTAATGGGTTCTATTTCAACGGGGAAGACCATTGAGAAACTTCGTACACTATTTTCTGCTTATGGTTTACCTGAGGAGTTGGTGTGTGACAACGGCACGTCTTTTACCAGTCTAGAATTCAGGGAGTTTCTTAGAAAAAATGGTGTGAAACTAACATTTTCTCCACCATATCACCCTGCCTCCAATGGAGCAGCCGAGCGTTCTGTTCAAGAAGTTAAGAAAAGTTTGTTAAGGCAAGTTTTGGGTGAAAAATCATCTCAAAAGACATCACTGCAGTATAAATTGGATAACTTTCTTTTCGCATATCGTAATACTCCATCGTCAGTAACCGGTGTGAGCCCGGCTGAACTGTTCTTACGTTGGAAACCTCGAACAAAATTGACTATGTTAAAACCTAATCTACTAGACGAGTCAAGGAAGAAGCAGGAAATGCAGAAACGAGCCTCAGATAGGCATAGAGGTGCGTGTAGATTTTTTAATGATAATCAGAAGGTGTTGGTTAAAACAGTCAGACAGGAGAAAGTTAGTTGGGTTCCAGGTCGCATATTAAAAGTCCAGTTACTTATTTGGTTAGTGTTCTTGGCAAAACAAGAGTTTGCCATGCAGACCATCTTAGGCCAACTGAGGTAGGGGAGGACGAAATCATCGTGCGGAAAGAGGAAGTTGGAAGGACTATTGAGGCACATCAACAAGAATTCAATAGAGATTTGCCTATTGTTCAGGAGTCTACATCACCATCAATATCAAGACATGATGCTTCGCCTTATTTGCCTAGATTGAAGTCTGATGTTGGGAAACCACGGGGTGTGCAATACAGTCCATCTACAGTTTTGAGGAGATCACAGAGGACTGTGCACAGGCCGGAGAAATTGGATCTATAAAGTTGGGAAGCCAAAGAGTCAGAAGAAATTTTAAAGTTTTAAAGTATTATGAGCCAAGCAAATTTTAAGTGTTGGCGAGTGTAATATATGTTTATATTAATTGTACAAGAAGCAGCATTTGATTTTATAATGTTGGTTGCATTCCAGATGTTAAAGACTTTTGTTTTGGTTCTGATTGTTAATTTTGTAAATAACAATAATAATTGAGTTGTGATTGAAATGGAGAATAAATTGAATACACTAGATTTTATCTTGTTCTTATAAAATATTACAGTCCTAAAATGTTTATTACATCTTATTTTGACTATTTTTTTATAGTAAGGATACATATATATTTCTTATTGCTTAGTAATTTATCATAATTCTTTAAAAAGCTATTTAGCTGGAATAACCTGTAACTACACTGACACCTATGACAGGGAAATTCGATGATCTTTGATAAAATAGCCGCTTACATATAGCTCAGGTTGCTGCTCGTAGCTTGTATCATACCTGAAGCTGTAGAATGGATTATTACGACAGTAGAGGGTCTATATATTTATAATAACGCTGTAAATCTGTTTGTAATATTTGCAGGGGGTGATGAATGCAGAGATCCATCCAGCGTTGGTGAGGCTAGCAGCTGTTCAAGAGCAGAAGAAACGTTTTGACAAGTGGAAGGGAAAATTTTCTCAAATCATCTCTAGACACCTTAACAATCTCTTTATCCATCTAGTAAGTTTTAATTTTCCAATTTCAATATATGTTTGATTTTATCATTGTGTTGCTCTTCAGCATAGTACCATATTATTTAAGTTATATGTATGCATAGGGTTGTGAGGTACTATCACTTCGAGAATCAAAATTGAAGGAGGTGTGACAGGGAAAATCTAATAGGAGAATCCAATCTGGAAGATCCAGAAAATGATGATTGGACATTCTTGAGAGGACATCACTTTAATGGGCGTTAGGATATAGTAAGCATATAACTAAATGTTTAAAAAATGATAAATGATGATAAAAAAATAATGCTAGTGTAGATTAAACAGTCTACGATTCCCAATACGCTCTTTAGCATCTAAATTTGAATATCCCACTCTTCACCATCAGTTACTTCTTTGGTATTTCACCATTTAGTATTAGCTTTCCATTTAGACATTAACCGAACACATCTGGTTACAGGGTAACGATGCTGGGGAGCAGACCGCTAGCCACCTGACACTGCCTAAACACACAGCGCTGCACCGGGAACTCACGGCGTACACGGAGTTGATGCACTGGTGCAAAGTGATGGATCGTAAAGCTTACACGGCACTCACCAAGGTGTACACCAGCTGTCTGGGCAAGATATATGAGAGGGACATCCGACAATTCCTAGAGGACGCTAAGACACAGATATCCGGCAACACAGGTACCACAAACAGAAATATAGAGTAGAATCAACAGTGTAAACTAACTAATCTTACCTTGAGGCCAGGTGTTTACAAATGTATGTTTGTACTACATAGTTGTAAATAAACTAGTGATATGTGGCAACACTGCAGTTTTCAGCAGCCGTGCACTCAACTCAGCCATTTTGCAAACTCTCTTTCACTTTCTCTACACTTGACTAAGTCCTCCAGGGGACAACGTAGCCTCTGGATCACTAAATTGAAGCAAAATGGTTTATTCTACCATGCTTTATTGTAGTGTTATTTTATTTGTGTTTTGGTGGTCGAAGTTTGGCCATGTGATGCAGAAAGATCTCACTGAACAGAAATATATTCAGCAGGACAGGGCCAGCTATGGACTGCTGGGTGTGGAGAGAGATCTCTGGGGTTCAGAGTATGACAGCAGTGAGAGGTTGAGGTTTGACCATGTGTTGGAGAAAGTTCTCACGGAATTGTAATATGTTCAGCAGGACCAGGAGTGCCTGGTAGGGAGGAGAAGGTGAGGAGTGCCAGCTATGGACTGCTGGGTGTGGAGAGAGATCTCTGGGGTTCAGAGTATGACACCAGTGAGAGGTTGAGGTTTGACCATGTGTTGGAGAAAGTTCTCACGGAATTGTAATATGTTCAGCAGGACCAGGAGTGCCTGGTAGGGAGGAGAAGGTGAGGAGTGCCAGCTATGGACTGCTGGGTGTAGAGAGAGATCTCTGGGGTCCAGAGTACGACAGCAGTGAGAGGTTGAGGTTTGACCATGTGTTGGAGAAAGTTCTCTCCCAACTGGAACCTGTCTGTCTGTCCGAACAGAACTTCTGTGTAGCATTCTTCCAGCTCGATGTTCTCAGCCCTACCACTAAGGTAACGTAGGATTATTGTTACCAGCTGAGTTATGAAGTATGAATCATCTGCTATTTGGGTTGTTTACATTATTTGTTTAGTTTTTGTAAATAAATAGTTTTTGGTTGAGTTTACTTAAAATGAGTTTTAATAATTAATTATTCTATATTGGCGACGAGAAAATGCCGAGGAAAACAGACCAGTCTCAGTATAGGACTGTAGTAACATGTCTTGCATACAAGATAGAATGAGCAGATTTTCATTTAAAGAGTATAATAGTGAACAATTGTGGGAAGACTACATAGCTCGTTTTGAGTTGACCTGCAGAGTTAAGGGACTGGGTGGTGCTAACACAGAAGAACAAGCGGCTCGGCGAGATCTTCTATTGGCAAATATCGGAGAGGAGCACCTCAGGACACTGTCGGACCAGATGTATCCAAGGAACTGGGAGGAGTGCACCTACGACGAAGTCAAAGAGGAAGCCAACCGGTTGTTTAAGCCTACAAGGACCCTTTTTGCAACAAGGTTTGAGTTTGAAAGAGCAATAAGAAAAGATGGTGAGACATTTATTTTGTTTTATAACAGATTGAAGTCTTTAGCTAGAAGTTGTAAATATGGAGATAGCTTAGATGAACGAGTACGAGATAGGTTTGCAGTAGGAAGCAACTGTCCAGAATTTGAAGTCGAAGTCAGACAAAGATGGCCCGAGGGAGTTAATAACCGAGGTGAGTGTGTTAAGTCAACAGTAGTACTAGAGTTAGCTCAATCTATGGAACGAGCGAGAGAAGAAGTTTCCAGACATTCGTGTAAAAATGAGATTTTTAAAGTAAGTGACAGTAAGGAAAAGAGGAAACCAGAGGTACAGAAATCTACTGGCTTCAATAGGTGTTATAGATGTGGGTTTACACATGACCCTAGTGAAGATAGGTGTCCTGCTATTTCTGCTGTGTGCAAGAAATGTTCAAGGAGAGGCCACTTCGCAAGAATGTGCAAAAGTAAACATAATTTTTTCAAGAGAACAGATGGTAAATTGAGAAAAGTAGATGATTCTGGTGATCAAACTTACGATGATGAGTGTAGTTCTGATATTGATGTTAGCGGAACACAAATTAGGTCTGTCAAGAGTAAGGTTCCCAGAGCTACGATAGATGTACAATTGAACGGGTATAATGTTAGAATGGAGTTTGATTCAGGAGCTCGGGTAAGTGCTATAAGTTTGTCTCTTTGGGATAAGATCAATTCAAGTGGCGAATCTCTAAAAAAGACGTCTGATGTAATCACTGGCTATGGGAAAAATAAGCTAGAAGTCATGGGTAAGGCTTTTGTGGACGTTACTTTACGTAATCGTACTAAGCGATTGCCAGTTATTGTACAGGGAGCGGCAGAAATATCTGACGGTTTTCAAGCGAGTACAGTCCGGCAGCCGAGTGGAGGGGGGTGGTGGGGAGCGGCTCATTCTCAAGGCAAAGTGTGACAATTTTAGTCGCCATGGAGCAGTGGACCAGTATACATCGCGCGTTTGCCGTTGAGGCGTTTTTTAAAAATGGCGATTCTGTTGTTGGTACGCAACGTAAGTTTCGGAGGCATTTTAATGTGGCTCGTGGGGAACCTATCCCATCCCGAAACACCATCAAATTGTGGGTGGATACCTTTAGATCACAGGATCAACTGCAAAACGTAGGCCTACAGGCCGTCCAAGTCCAGTGAGGACGCCTGAGAACGTGGAGCAAGTGCGACAAGCTGTGCTAACGAACCCGCATCGCCCGGAGCGTAGACAAGCTGCTGCTCTTGGCATGTCTGATCGCTATATTCGACGAATATTGCACTCAGGCCTTCACTTTCACCCGACAGCGATCAGACATGCCAAAAGCAGCAGCTTGTCTACGCGCCGGGCGATGCGGGCTCGTTAGCACAGCTTGTCGCACTCGCTCCACGTTCTCAGGCGTCCTCACTGGACTTGGACGGCCTGTAGGCCTACGTTTTGCAGTTGATCCTGTGATCTAAAGGTATCCACCCACAATTTGATGGTGTTTCGGGATGGGATAGGTTCCCCACGACACGAGCCACATTAAAATGCCTCCGAAACTTACGTTGCGTACCAACAACAGAATCGCCATTTTTAAAAAACGCCTCAACGGCAAACGCGCGATGTATACTGGTCCACTGCTCCATGGCGACTAAAATTGTCACACTTTGCCTTGAGAATGAGCCGCTCCCCACCACCCCCCTCCACTCGGCTGCCTTCCCCCTGTATAAATACTTCCCCGACATTTATACACCACTCATGGGATGCACTTCAATAGGAAAGGTAAAGCTAAAGTTGCAGACATGGTTGCAAAACTGCTAATTAGGAAGAAGCAAAATGAACCCTCAAAGCACTCTTTTAACTCTAAAGCAGTGGTTGTAGATCAAGGTATCGAGTTAGTTGAAGAACACATGAGCCAAGTTATAGACCGCTACAAACAGGACTCTTCTGTAGGTTTTGCTCACACTATATCGAGTGACCTTGACCATGCCAGAAATATGTCAGCTGGTGTTGCTGTTGTCTTCAAAAACAAGTTTGGTAGACCACGTCCCTGCGATTTTATTGCAGACAAACTCACCTGTCAGAATGTAAATCAAGGCGCTTTTGTTTACAGCCTGGTTACCAAACCGATGTATAGTGGGAAACCAAAAAAAGACGACTACAATGAAGCCTTTTCTCAACTCACACGGGATTTTAAAGCAAAAGGACTAAAAACATTAATCTGCTCCCCCATGGGTTGTGTGAGGGATCTTATTGCACCAGAACACTTTATCAAAAAAATTATGGATTTTCGTCAAGAAACAGGGGCTGCAGTGTTCATCGTGAGCTACAATCAAAGATCACAAAGAGAGCTAAGACGGGGACTATCACATGGCGAATTCCAATTGAAACTAGATGTTCTGATAAAGGAATACAGTTTGAAGAACTCAGCTGATGATACAGTTACCATCACCCCCACTCCACAATCGGGAACTGATGCTAACATCTACACTCCTTGTGGGACTCACGAGGTTGACGTCAACACGCCCACCACACCACCCGAGGATGAGGTCAACACGCCCACTACACCACCCGAGGTTGAGGTCACCACGCCCACCACACCACCTGAGGTTGAGGTCAGCACCCCTACCCTACGAGAGGTTGTTGTTGACACCTCCTCTAATGAATCTCTAAGCCAGTCAGCCATTGAAGTGTCCAATCTAAGTGAGAGTGAAATTATTCCCCAGAAGTGTAGTGTTGACCGCGCTGCCAGTGTGTCATTTGCTCCCGTGGATCCAAATAGGCCTAAGAATAATGTTTAGCCTTAATAAGACTGCCAAGCAAGAACCACAAAAAAAGCCATCAATTTTAAATGTAAATCCTTCACTCTTGTTTCTAAATATCCAAGGCTTAAAAAATAAAACATCGATTTTAGAGTCATTTGTACTTAGGAATAATATCTCCGCTATTGGTCTAACTGAACATTGGTTAAAAACAGAAGAGGTTGCTTTAGCTTATCCTGATGGTTTTTGTTGTGGTAGTGCTTACTGCAGAACTGATCATATAAGGGGGGGCTCTTTAGTTTTCACTAAAAATTCTTTGCAGGTTAAAATGTGTGATTTGGATCAGTTTTGTTCTGAAATGAGTTCAGAAGCAGCAGCAGTCTTTATCAAGGATTTTAAATTAATTTTCGTCTCTGTCTACCACTCACCTTCGGGCAACCCTGCGGTTTTTCTTGAAAATTTTGATAAATTATTAACTCATCTTTCTCGTTGGACTAATTATGTTTCAATCATCGGAGGAGACTTTAATAAAAGTTTTGACTTGACTCAGAACAACTACCTCTCTAAACAATTTCTTAATATACTACGCCAGCACAATTTTCACTTCTTAAATCACTCCCCCACTCGAGGCAACAATTGCCTGGACAATGTATTAACAAATTGTAGTAAAAACGCAAATATAAGCTGTAAAGTATTTGATTTCCCCTTCTCTGACCATAATGGTCTTCTAATTAATTTGACTTTGAATTTGGATAAGGATTGTGTTAATCAATATGCTGCTTTAAACTCTTTTTCTAAAGTAATTTTGCCAAAAGATTCGGTTGGTTTATTAGTAGAAAAGCTTGGTACTTATGATTGGATACAAGTGCTTAATTGTATAAATTCAACAGCAGAAGATACGTTCAGAGTTTTTTTCAAAGTTTTAAAAGATAACATTTCTTATTTTTCTAAAGTAATAAAAATTCAAACTGAAAATTCGAAAAAAAATAATTGTAATGCTTGGTATAATAGTGAGTTAAGAGATATGAAAGAAAGATTAATTTTTCTAGATAAAATAGTAAAAAATAGTCAAAGCGTTTCAAATGAAACAAAACAAGCATATAATGGGTTAAAAAATCAATATAAGCATTCAATTAAGAAGGCCAAAATAGAATATAACACAAATCTCATAGAAAAAAGTAATAACAAATGTAAAACTGCCTGGCAAATCATTAAAACCAGTAGCAATTCTTTAATCAATACAAAAAAACCCAAAATATCTCCTGATGTTTTCAATACCTTTTTCATTGAATCAATTGAAAACATAAAAATGAAAATTGTTAGTAATGATTACAGTTCAAAAGATTTAGTTAATAATTCTTCCATTACTCCTGTACCTTTTTTCTGGAATTTTATCACACCTAATGATCTAATAAAAGCCACAAAAAAACTAAAAAACTCTAGCAGTAATGATGTTTATCTCATGTCTAATAGTTTGCTTAAACAGATTATTGGTAATCTAGCTGAACCTCTATCTTACTGCTTTAATCTCTGTCTCCTTGAGGGTGTCTTTCCAGATGAATTAAAGGTCACCAGAGTCTGTCCCATTTTTAAAAAAGGTAAAAAAGATATTCCAGAAAGTTATCGCCCAATATCAATCATTCCTGTAGTATCAAAATTGTTTGAAATCATGGTTTTTGACCAGCTGAATTCTTTTTTTGAAAGAAACAACTTTTTAAGTGTACAGTAGACCC